GTGGCATTAAACCTTCCTATCTTTATGGAGACCAAATCAGACCAAGTGACAGGGCAGATCTGTGGAGAGGCGACCCCGCTCACAGTCAGAATGTCTGTTTTTCTAGGTATTTTTGAGCTATAAAACCACCTGTGATTGAGTAAAATGTAAAGTAGAGCTGTTTAAAGTCACACTGTGGGGCATTGACATCTCCATAGAAACAAGCAGGTGACGGACCAACCAGAAAGTTACATAGTGCACCTTTAAAGCAGCACTAAGTAACTTTCTGGAGTTTTTTTTTTTTTATATATAACAATGACAATAAAATCTCTTGAATCTTGTACCATTCCTGTTAGAGGTCTGCACGGGACAGAATTTTCGCTGCCGCCCGCACCCGCAAAGAATTGTAATTTTTATTCTTGCATCTGCGTCCCGCTCCCGCCCGCAAATCCCGCAAGATGGGGACGTTCGCTTTTTTAAGCTCTAAACACGGAGAAGCGGAAAAGGAATGGTCTAAAATGTGCGCGAGATTAGACCACGTCCGCAAGTTTCGGCTGCTTAAAATGTTTTTATTAACGGCAAATAAAATATCCAGCACAAACTATGTACGATAGGCAAACATTAATCATTTGTATATTTATTTTACACTCATATTTAGTTTGCGGGACTGCAGTTTATCATCCCACCCACCCGCCTGTGCCCGGATTGATCTTTAAAAATGTGTCCCGCGCCGCACTGTTTTGCGTCGGGTTTCACGAGGTTGCAGGACTCTAATTCCTGTAAATAGAGTTATAACGTCACTTCGGGAACATTCTCCACGTTTTTGTTTTTTGCCTGTTACAGTTAAAGCTATAAAGTCTCGTGCTGTGGCTTTAAAATTGACACGACACCTAATAACGGCTTTGACCTGCTTTATGGTTCATTAAGTGAGTCAAAGTTGTATGACAGGTTTGAATGAATCCCACATTTTGACCTAATTTGGTGAGATAATATCCGCTCTAAATATAAGTTTTACACTGATCAAGAAGCAATTTGTGAAGAAAAATCGGGTGAAAATAAATCACATGAAGAGGAGAGTTAAATTTTAGTGTAGAGTGTTGGTCACATCAGGGAAAACTTCATCTAAAAATCATGCACAGTTTTGATACATGAAACATATATTTTCAGATACTTAAAAGATCCATTGTGCAATTTTTCTTCATGGACATGTTATTGCTTTGTCTGGAATGTTTCACAGTATGGCATTAAACCTTTCTATCTTCATGTAGACGAAAGCAGCCCATATTACAGGTCAGATCTGTGGAGAGGCGACCCCGCTCACAGTCAGAATCTTGTTTTTCTAGGGATTTTTGAGCTATAAAACCACCTGGAATTAAATAAATGTAAGGTTGAGCTGTTTAAAGTCACACTATGGGACATTTCAGGCAGAGAAATGATATATCCACAGAAAAAAGCAGGTGATGATATAGTGCAACTTTAAAGCAACACTACGTATGGTTTCACTTAGTGGAAACTGTCTGACCTCGCAGCATTAGGATTCGTTCGCTCGACAGTACGCGGGGACTTTTTTTATTTAACCAATCGCTGCTATTTGGTCGTGACGTATGTAATGCGCCGCTAACGGGGATAACTGGTATATTACCATATTTTCCGCACTGTTAGGCGCTCTGGATTATAAAGCGCACTGTCATTAAATGGTCTATTTTCGAACTTTTTTCACAAATAAACCGCACCGGACTTTAAAGGAAACACAACAGTGTGATGGGTGAGTGGTTTTGTTTGTTTGTGGCGTTCACGGTGACTCTGGGCTTTGTTCAGTTGTGGCGTGTAGGGAGGTGCTGTCTGGGACCAACGGATTGTCGGCGTGTTCGCAGTGACTCAGTTGTTCAGTCGTGTCTAGAAGTGGCACATCGCGCTCGCTTTTTCGGTTCGTTCCTCCGTTCCGTTCCTCGTCGGCGTGGAGTGATGAGTGTGTCTGTGGGTGTGTTTCTCTGTGCGGTCGCTGTCTGCTCCGTGTGTGTTTTGCATGAGTGGATTCGTGTATGGGGCGCTCTGGATTGTGGGGCGCGCAGTCGTTTTTTGATGGGGTTGGAGGCTTAAGTGCGCGTCTAATAGTAAGCTAAAAATACAGTAAGCTTTTCCCAAATCCTGTAGGAAGAAGGACAATAACGTCTTTCCCCTTGATAAAATTCACCAAACATTCTCTTTGTTCCAGCTTTAAATCCTCGATCTCGAGAATCGTTGCCAACACAGAATGTCTGTCTCTTCACTGATTGGCTGGCGCTCAAACTTGCACTTCTGGGGTTCTTGGAAACCGTCTAGTGTATTCCGATTCCTGATCTAGTCGCTGGAGATAAATGAAATTGAGCGGAGGCACTAGGCGACGCCAGCCTGGCTAGTAACTTTCTGGAGGTGGAGTTTGTTTTTTTATAACAATATAATAAATAAACAATATAATAAATAATAATAATGAAAAAAGAAAGCAACACTTAAGTAATTTGTTGGTATCTATGATCAGTCACAGAGCTCAAATCTCATTGTAGTACAGAAAAACAACAAAACTTTCCCCACTAGTACAAAAAAAGTACCCATGACAAGTCTTGACAAATGTTCAATCTGTCCTGTATTGAAGGATGGAGTAATTATCGAGACAGGTCTAAAGAAAACTATAATTATTTTCTCTTGTTTACGTAATTGCAGCTTTTGTGATTTTATAATTGTGCCAACTCTATTTGTTATTTATGTTTGATTACCGAATGTTGTGCAACCCGAGTTTAAAGGGCCGATTAGGCAATTTTCTGATTTATGTTATAATGATTTTTCCTCATCAAAAACAGACCTGGAGTTGTGTTTTGTTTCACACGTTTAACACACAAACTCTGCAAATTTAGGCTGAGTTCTTCTCTCAAACTTAAAACACTGATGAGTAAACAACATTATAACATACCTTAAAGCTCACAAGAGTCAATTTTGCGTAATATAAGACCTTTAACTCTTTCCCCCATTTGACGACGCTCCTTGTATCACTAAAGACGTGATCTGACGACCATTAGAAACGGTTCAGATTTTTCACATTTAAACAGAGACTGTGATAGGTGGAGCCACTACAACCCACACTAGGCTGACCAATAGGATTCAAGGATATGTTTTTGCCGATTTTTTCTGAAGTTAATCGAAGTAGTGACGATTGTAGCTTCCGGAAAAAACACAGCACAAAACTGTGCACCGAGATTGCGGCGCACAGTTTTACAAATAATGAGGAGCGGACGTATTTTATGGATAAGTTTAGAGAAAGTGACTTTTATAGATTTCAAAGTGATGATGAAGTTGATTATAAAGAGGAAAACAGCGATAGTGACAGACTTTCAGAGAGTGAAACTTATGAAGGTGAGAATGTCGCTGATGCGTCTGTGTGGAGTCCTGCGATATCCCAACAAACTATCCGGGCTTTATACTCGATTATGAACCAAAATTGCCCCAAAATCTGGATGTTGCTCAGGTTAGTCCTTTGAAATATTTCAGTCTTTTTTTTTCCAAGATGACATGTATGACAGAATTGTTACAGCAACAAACGTTTATACGAGAAAGCAACCAAGATGACAAATACTGGACACCCACTGACGAGGAAGAGTTTTATTATTATATTATAATAAGCTAAATAAGTTGAATAAGTTAAATGGAAAAAACGAATTAGGTCCACACAGGTAAAAACAGGTGCACACTTGGCTAAACTGTATCTGGTGATATGAAATCTGTTTAAATACTTTGACAAATATATATATATATATTTTTTTTAATGAATATAGTACTCAGAACATGCAGATATCAGATGCTGAATGTACCGTATTTTTCAGACTATAAGTTGCACTTTTTTTCATGGTTTGGGTGTTTCCTGTGACTTATACTCCGGTGCGCCTTTCATATTAAAATTTTCAGACCGACAGCCGTGAGAGGCTCTAGGCTCATGGGTCAGTATCTAGTACTACTTTTACTCCTGTACTACTGTCACTTCGCACTCTACTGTGAATGTCTCCTGTAGAAAAAGCCGCTGTCTCACTGCAAATAGTGAAATATTCAGATGAAAACAGTAATCGAGCAGCAGAAAGAAAGTTTGGAGTGAGCGAGAAACTTGTGATTGACTGGCGGAAAGCGCGGATGGAGAACACAGCTTCACGGTAACTGGGAGGGTGCGCCACGTAACTTTCCTGGAAGTCACTGGATGAACTGACAAAGCCTGAACTTCAATGACACCGAAACCATCCTGTCTGGATTCAGAAAGGCCGGAATAATTCTAACAGAGGAGGAAATGACGCTCTGTTTACGGTTTATCTCCGTAGGTCGCACAGAAGTGACACTGATGATGAAGAATTTATTGGATTTAGTGATTTCGCGTGAGATCGTGAGTTTGGTAAACTTATGTTCTGTTGTTTATGCTATAATTATCTGAAGAATTGTTCATATGTTACGTTAACGCCTATTAACACCTGTTCAGTCTGTTGTTCTCTGTTCTGTTGTTATTACTAGAACTTGCCTTTCAAGATAAAATGTCGGTTCCTGATCTGAACATTTCCCCAAAAAGTGTGACTTATATATGTTTTTTTCTTCTTCATTGCGCATTTTTTGGCTGGTGCGACTTATTACTCCGGCGCAACTTATAGTCCGAAAAATACGGTATTTTTTTTTTTTCGATTTTGCACCTGACCAGGTAAACTCTCATGTTCTGTGAGCTGTTGTATACCAGTAAATGAGTTGAATCACATTTAAACATCCATAAATTAATAGTTCAGAGTCTAAAGTTTCCAGAGACACCAAATATGTCTGTGTTTCAATAAAGCTCATGAGTGTAAAAATCATTTATAATCACTGGTAGATTTTCTTTTATGCAGTTATGCTCTATGGTTTGCTCTAGTCATATGTGTCTGGGTTGTTTCTCGTAGGCGTCCAAGAGGGAAAGAGTTAAAGCGTCGAGTTGAGTTTGTTTTCTCCTCCTCCGTATTATAAACAGTATAATTTGAACATACCTCTTTTCAGGCGTCGCGGTTCACTGGAGGACAGACTTGTAGCCAAATTAGGGCAGGGCTCAGGAGCTGCACGAGATTTGAAAAACAAAAGAGAAAAAGAGACGGTCAAGGCCAGCCTGAACCACAAACCCATAATAACATCTGCAAAAAAAAAAAAAAAAAAAAACGTGGAGGAGAGACAACATCTAATCAGAGAACGGCGCGGTGGTTTCTGGGGACTTCCAACGGGCCGCTGGTGGTTTCCTTTAAGTGAGGTAACATAACAAATACAAAAATGTTATCTGGAAAGTGCAGTTGCTTCTAACGCAGCAGGATATGAGAAAGAAAAATGCCACACTTCATAACCCTGCTCGACGTTTGGATGTTTAAAGTCACAGTATGTCACTTTTTAGCCCAGCGATAAAAGTATTTTCCAGCAAAAAAACAAACTTAACTCAAACTCACCGCCCAAAACAAAACAAAAATGCGTTTCTCTGAGCAGGCTCGCGTCTCCGTAAACCTGGCCTCCTCCTCGTTTCCATGGAAATGCATAACGTAAAACATAACTCCATGGAGAATGTTTCAAAGTGTGTGGGTTTTTTTTTAAGCTCTATTCAAATCGCAATGTTCAATTTAAATGCAAAAATATCTTTCATTTACAACTGTATTTTTTGTATACATTTCTGGGACTAAATAGAAGCGCCCAGTTATGAAAAATATAAAAATGTGATATAAAATACAGATTTAAAACTTCTACAGGGGTTTTAACGTTTGAGAGACTGAAGTAAGAGCTGTTTAAACTATAAGAATCTCATGCTTTTCAGAACATGTTTGAACTACAAAACTACAGAACTACAGAAGTACATAAGTATAGAAGTACAGAAGTATAAAAGTACAGAACTACAGATGTAAAGAACTACAAAATACAGAACTACAAAACTACAGAAGTACATAAGTATAGAAGTACAGAAGTATAAAAGTACAGAACTACAGATGTAAAGAACTACAAAATACAGAACTACAAAACTACAAAGTACAAAACTACAGAAGTACAGAAGTAAAGAACTACAAAACAACAGAACTACAAAAGTACAGAACTACAAAGTACAAAACTACAGAACTACAAAGTACAAAACTACAGAACTACAAAGTACAAAACTACAGAACTACAGAAGTACATAAGTATAGAAGTACAGAAGTATAAAAGTACAGAACTACAGATGTAAAGAACTACAAAATACAGAACTACAAAGTACAAAACTACAGAGCTATTGAGTACAAAACTACAAAATACAGAACTAAAAAAGTACAGAACTACAAAACAATAGAACTACAAAACTACAGAACTACAGAACCACAGAACTAGAAAGTACAAAACTACAGAACTACAGAACCACAGAACTAGAAAGTACAAAACTGCAGAACTACAAAGTACAAAACTACAGAACTACAAAATACAGCGCTACAAAGTACAAAACTACAAAATAAAAAACTACAAAAGTACAGAACTACAGACCTACAGAGCTACAAACCACAAAAATACAGAACCACAGAACTACATAGTACAAAAATACAGAACTACAAAGTACAAAACTACAGAACTACAGAGCTACAAAAGTACACAACTACACAGTGCAAAACTACAGAAGTACAGCGGTTTTTCTGTATTAAATTTTACTGCGGGGAAAATAAAAACAGATTTTGTTCTTTGCAGACGACTTTCTATTAACTAAATTAAATAAAATAATTGCACCATATCAAAGTGCAATTTCAATTCAACTGTGACCAGGACTAGACCAGGACTAGACCAGGACTAGACCGGGACTAGATCAGGACTAGATCAGGACTCGAGTGGGTCCCAGTTGTACTTGAGCTTATGTCAGATGTCAGATACAGTGATGTAACTCCAATGCAGCTGGTGATGTAACTCACTGCACCGACTGCACCAGACACAGAATCATCTGACAACACAACAAGAGAGAGAGAGAGAGAGGAAGAGAGGAGAGGAGGAGAGAGGAGAGGAGGAGAGAGGGAAGGAGACCGGAGGGGAGGAGAGGAAAGAGGAGAGAGGAGAGAGAGAGGAGAGAGGAGAGGAGAGAGGAGAGGAAAGAGGAGAGAGGGAGAGAGGGAGTAGGAGAGGAGGAGAGAAAAGGAGAGAGGAGAGACAAGAGAGGAAAGGAGAGAGGGTACAAGAGGCGAGAAAAGAAGAGAGGAGAGAGGAGAAAGGAGAGGAGAAGGGGAGAAGAGAGGAAAGGAGAGGAGGAGAGGAGACACATAATGAAGAAAAAAGAGGTAAAAGAGAGAGAGGAAGGGGTGAGGGGAAGAGAATAGAGGGAGAGATGGAGGAGAGGAGATAAAAGAGATAGAGGAGGGAGAGGAGAGAGGAGAAAGGAGAGAGGGAGAGACGAGAGGAGAGGAGAGAGGACGGGAAGAGAGAGGAGAGGGGGGAGGAAAGGAGAGAGGGAGAGAGGAGAGAAAGTGAGGGGAGAGGAATGGAGAGAGGAAAGAGGGATAGAGGAGAGGAAGGTAGAGAGGAGAGAGAAGAGGAGAAGAAAGGAGAGAGGAGAGGAGAGGAAAGGGGAGAGGAGGAGAAAAGAGAGGGAGAGGGGAGAGGAAAAGAGAGAGAGGAGGAGAAAAGAGAGGGAGTTCGGAGCGGGAGAGGAGAGACGGAAAGAGGAGAGGAAAGAGAGAGAGAGGAGAGGAAAGGAAAGGAGAGAGGAGGAGAGGAGCATGAGAGGGGAGGATAGAGGAAGAGATGGAGGAGAGAGAAGAGGGTGAAGACAGTGAAAGAGAGACGGCGGGAGAGACACAGAGAGAGAGAGAGAGAGAGAAGAGAGAGAAAGTGGAGGAGAAATAAATGAACAATGAAGACAAAGGAGGAAAGGACAGAGGAGACAAGAATGAAGAGAGAAAAGAGAGAGAAGAGGAACAGAGAACAAAGGAGGAGAAGAGCAGAGCCTGCAGACAATCTCCATGTGGACGCTTCAGTTCCAGTCTGTCACACTCTGCAGTCACTTCAGTCTGACGGAGCTCGAGGGTTTAACAAAACGCACAAAGCAAATACACAAAAACTCGACGCACACACGAAATATAACTCAGATTTGACAGGAGATTATTTCATTGTGTTTTTCTGCTCAAAACGTCGTCACTGTCGGTCTTATTCTGCGTAAAAGTCACTAACCTTGTAGTTTAGACTTCGACGAACAAGTTGTAAATGTGATTCTTGTTTTATTTTCAGTTATTTTATCCGTTCAGATTCCAGTTTTCTACCAAATTTATGACGTGCATTGTGAGCCAAATCTCAAATTTAAAACATAAATTGAAAAAAACGAATCAGAATCGCAATTGCGGTCAAAAAAAATTGTTCTTGTATTTTCCTTTCCCAACAAATGTTTTCAGTTTTCAGCCTGTAATGTTCCACAGTATCAGTAAAAAACATACAGTATCTAATATCTCCGTGGAAACAAGGTGAGGCCCCTGAGTCAAGTTACAGGTCGGATCTGTGAAGAGACGAAGTCAGAACGCACGTTTGTCGAGGTATTTTCGAGCAACTGTAAATGACTAAATACAAAAAAAATACAAGTTTAATCTTTATCACGATATGCATCTCTCGGTACGATATTTATTGCGATATTTTAAAAAGGCTGATATAATTGTAGATGATTTTGTGCTTTTAAAATACCTTGACAAGATTTTGATGTGAATTATTTCCATCATAATCCCAAAAATTCAAGTAAAAAACATGTTTCTCCATGTTGTCTGCGCTGAAATGAATCATGGGATATGTAGTTCCTGATGTTTATAAGCTGTTTCTACTATAAAACCATATATAATGTCAATTTAGGCAATGGATTGTAAGAATAACGACCTTGAATTTAGTAATGTTGTGTTATAATAAACATATTGGGGGGTCAGATTATTATAGCCATAGGTTTCCCCTTTTAACTACTCAACTGATCAGCCCTGTCTATTTTAACAAGATTCCAAATCATTATACATCATTTTGATTACCTAATGAATTAATAACTACTTATCTCATTTTCAGTAAACATTTAAGTAATTTTTAACATTCAAAAGTTATAATCGACATAAAAAATGCATCTGAGTTCTTCAAAAAACACTTTTAAATACATCAATATGTTTTAATTTGCAGATATAGTATTAATATTCAAAGTTTTTCTATACAATTCAACTTCTTTATCAATAAAATATAGATTTTCATAGGGGGGGTCAACATACCATACAGGATTCTGACCCCGGGGTCACGTCACGGGGTCACGTTTCTACTATAAACCCATGTATTTAAGCAAAGGAACTTGAAAATTCGATATATTGTGACAGCCCACGATATTATTGTGAGACTTTTAGTGACACAATATCACGATATTTTGGTTATTGTTACATCATTAACACATATTATACCTTTGTTTCCTCATCGAAAACATAACCGCGGTCGTGTTGTGTTTCATTCACACATGTTTAACTCACAAACGTCGCATATTTAGGCTGAGTTCTTCTCTCAGAAACAGAAAACGCTTTTGATTTCTGTTTCTGAATGTCATGTGGTAATACAGGAAGTGCTCCACTGTGTTTTTAAACTCCATACGGTTCCACTAGAATCATTTGGACTATTTCAGCCTTGGAATTGCCAATCTCTACTATGGCTGGGTATCTTTAAGAAGCTGCCGATACGATACATACCTCGATACAGTGAGCTCTCAATTCGATACCATATATTTCAAATCGATTCCATAAAGTTCAATAAAAATAAAGGCTAAGTCATGGGTGTGATACTAAAAGTGTTTGTTAAACCGCTTCTTGTGCAAAGTTCATATGAACCACGCCCATTTTAATCACCAAAACTGTGAAAGTGTCAAATGTGTCGCATGAAGGAGTTTCCTTCCACTGAACAAGCGACAAAACTGTAGCTCTGAAACAAAATTATTTAGTAACATAAACCAAAAAAAAACACTCTTGGCGATATATCGATACAGCAGCCCACGATATCGATACTGTATTTTCACATTAAACGATATTTCAGCATTTTTCCACAGCCCTAATCTCTACTAAACAAAAAGTTAAATGAG